AAAATGTTTTCTTCTGTGTTTAAATCTTTTCTTGAGTTCTTATAATAGTGGTCTTATACAGTATTTGTCCTTTTATGACTGATTAAATTCACTCAGCATAATGCCTTCCAGATTCCTCCATGTTATATTTCATCATTGTTCTTTATCGTTGCGTAGTATTCCGTTGTGTCAATATACCATAATTTGTTTATCCATTTGTCCATTGATGGGCACCTAGGTTGTTTCCATTTTTTTGCTATGGGGAACAGTGCTGCAGTGAACAAGGGTGTGCATAGATCTATTAGTGTGACAGCTCTTATTTCTCTAGGATATATTCCAAGGAGCGGGATAGTGGGATCATATGGTACTTCTACTTCTAGCTTTTTAAGGAAGCGCCAAATTGATTTCCAAAATGGTTGTACCATTTTTTACATTCCCACCAACAGTGTGAAAGTGTTCCAGTCTCTCCACATCCTCTCCAACATTTATTATTTTGTGTTTTTTGGATTAATATTAGCCTTGTTGGGGTGATGTGGTATCTCATTGTAGTTTTGATTTGCATTTCTCTAACGGCTAATGATCACGAGCATTTCTTCATGTGTCTGTTAGCCACCTGAATGTCTTCCTTGGTGAAGTGCCTGTTCATATCCTTTGCCTATTTTTTAATTGTGTTGTCTTTTTGTTGTTGAGGTTTTGCAGTTATCTTGTAGATTTTAGAGATTAGATGCTGATCAGATTTGTCAAAAATTTTTTCCCAGTCTGTAGGTTGTCTTTTGACTCTTCAGGTGAAGTCTTTCAATGAGCGTAAGTGTTTGATTTTTAGGAGCTACCAGTTAGTTTCTCTTCTGGTGTTTGTGCATTGTTACTTATGGTTCATATTCTATTTGCTTGTTTGTTCTTGATCTATGTATTGTGACCTCTACATGAGGCCTCCTGTCCTGCTGCAGGGCCCTGATGTGTAGGTTACCTCAGCCCCACTCATAGTCCCTAGGGATTGGTGGGGTGGGTCCACCTGGTGGCAAGGGGCACTTCCTCACAGGGGGAAGTGGGACCCACAGGGTGGCATTGTTGCTTTGGCTTCAGATTCTTTCAAAGGCTGACCAAAACTGCATTTGGTTGTTTATCTATCTTTTCTACTGCTGTGCTGGCAGCCACTAAATCCACCCACATCTGCTTCTGGGTTACTCTTAAGGCACCCTTGGACAGCCATCTTACAGAGTTTTCAGCCTTTCTTTTCTCTCTTCCCACGGCTCACACCCCCTTCTCTCCAGCCCTCTCAGTTTCACCCAAGTCAGCTATGGCTTGTCCCACTTAGTAGACTGTCTGGCCCACTAAGGGACTAACTATAGCCACCAGTGTGCTGTATCAGGAGGATGGGGCTGCCTGTAAGATCTTTGCTTTCATTCTTGCAGTAAAGAGTTCATTGTCTGAGAAAGGGCAACATAAACCAGAGACTTCATCAACCTGAGACCAGAAGAACTAGATGATGCCCAGCTACCACCAGTAACCGCCCTGACAGGGAACATAACAGAGAATCCCTGACGGAGAAGGAGAAAAGGCGGGTGCAGAACTCATATTCTAGTAAGAAGACCAGACTTAATGGTTTGATTGAGACTGAAGGGAGTCTGGAAGACATGGCCTTTGGACTCTGTTAGCCAAAAACTAAAACTATTCCTGAGGCCAACTCTTCAGACAAAGATTAGACTGGATTATGGGACATAAAATGATACTAGTAAAGAGTGTGCTTCTTAGCTCAAGTGGATACATGAGACTAAACGGGCAGCTCCTGTCTGGAGGCGAGATAAGGCAAAAAGAGAAATCCGAGGCGGAAAGGAGGAGTGTGCTGTTACAGCATAGGGAGAGCAAACAGCGTCACATAATTTTTGTATGAGAGACTAACTTGAATTGTAAAGTTTCACTTAAAGCACACCAATTAAAAAGAAGAGTTCACTGTCTGGTCCCCAGAAGTGCTTGGCATAGATGGCGTGGCACATACATAGCTCCTGTATTAGTTGCTGTAACTCCTCTACAGAAGACCACTTCAGCTCCATTTAAAGAGACACCATCTCCCCTGATATCCCACAAATGTAATGACCAAGCTGCAATGGTTTCCTTTCCTTTCTGCTGGAATTTCCCACACAATTTAATCAACTCAGTGTGGGGTGTATTCCCGCATTATCATAGAATTGGGGGTGAGATTTCTTGTCCAGGGTCATCGGGCTCTCAAGTAGCTTTCATTTTACGAGTGATGAGCAGCCATACCTGGTCAGCAAAGCCAGGCTCCTCCTCTACTATCACCTCCACCTGAGCTGCTATCAGGCTTGCTGGCCCAAGGATTCCATGTTTTCGCATCCCAGTCACCTTTCATCAATACTGCCCTGATCTTCACTGTCTTAGTTATCCAGTGCTGCAATAACAGAAATACCACAGGTGGATGGCTTTAACACAGAGAAATTTATTCTCTCACAGTCTAGTAGGCTACAAGTCCAAATTCAGGGTGTCAGCTCCTGGAGAAGGCTTTCTCTCTCTGTTGGCTCTGGAGGAAGGTCCTTCTACATTCTCTGCGCAGGAATCCCAGGTCCAAAGGAAGCGCTCTGCTCCTGGCGCTTCTTTCTTGGTGGTATGAGCTCCCCATGTCTCTCTGCTTGCTTCTCCCTTTTATATCTCAAAAGAGATTGGCTTAAAACACTATTTAATCTTGTAGATCTGATCAATATAACTGCCACTAATCCATCTCATTAACATCATAGTGATATTTGCAACACACAGGGAAATCACATCAGATGACAAAATGGTAGACAATCACACAATACTGGGAATCATGACCTAGCCAAGTTGACAATTTTGGGGAACACAATTCAATCCACGACATTAACCTTTGGCACTTTCTTTCCCCTCATCTTTACAAACCTGCAGGCAAGCATTTCTAGTTGCTCATCCTGTTCACAGATGTGGCTGCTCAGTATGTCAGTCATGTTCACAGGACTGGCGCATATCCCTTTCCAACTGTAACTCTTCCTGCAAAGCTCTTGTGTATGTTTCAGCAGCTAGCTGGGCATCGGTGGCCAGCCGAATGCTCCAGAGCAGCGGCCACCCTACGGCCGCTACTGCTTTCCTAGCTTCCTTTCCACACTTATGAAGGCACATGTCTTCCTGCAACCAGGCTACACTGCTCGGCATTTTCAGGGCACCCCTGTAGTCACAGGGCAGTCCACAGACATCAAGCATACAAGCCAAACCTTCCCACATGGAGGTTGTTGGCCAATCCAGGAATTCCCCTGCAGAGTCCTCACTCCCACTCGCCACTTCCTAGTCTGTTAGCTGGCTCACCAACTGTCCTGGCAGGGACCGACAACGTGAAACTTGGCTGCCGAGAAACCGAAGAAAGCGGCAGGCAACTCCAGGGTGGCAGAGAAAGAGTTTATTAGGGAGACTTACATACGACGAAGGTCCTGGCAGCACCAAGACCAAGCTGATCTCCTCTCCCCGCAGTGGGAACCAGGGCTTTTCTAGCGGTGGTGAACAATAGTGGCTACATGCCAGGGATGCCTCTAGATTTACATAAGGCCATCTCAGCAAGAATTACATAAGAATGACTTAGCAAACGGCAGTGAAGTAGCAGAAAGCATCAGGGCGGCCATGTTTGGCATTGCAAACCCTGTTTCCCCTTCAATATAAAAGAAGGAAATGTTTCAGGTCCTGTGTCACAGCAGGAGGGAAAACGAGAAAATCTAGTCCCAGGGCTTCTCACACCCAACTGGGAATTTACTTAGGACCAGGATAATCCCTCGGGTCAGAATGGGAAACCCATGGGGTCGTCAGGCCCGCCTGATGGGCTGCACTGAAACTCAAAAAGCAGGACGGGCGCAAAAAGGAACCGGTAAGGCAAACGGAAGCAGCAGCTCCTTCAACATCGCCCGCCCCTTCTCCCGGTCTTATCCCGCCTCCACAGCGTCTGTCGGACCGGACGGTGCGCCGCACGGAGATGCGCAGAAAAAGAGGAGGCGGGCAAGCCCGACAGGCGGAGCCGCGAGGCGGGGCTTGGGCGCGTGCACGTGCGTGCGTGCGTGTGTGGGCGCGGCACGCAGCACGCCGTGCGTGAGGCGGATGTCCGGGCCGGCTGTGCCGGGGCCGCGGATGAGATGGCGGAAGGCGGAGGCTGCCGTGAGCGACCGGATGCGGAGACCCAGAAATCCGAGCTCGGGGCCTTGTTGAGGACCACGCTCCAACGGGGGGCGCAGTGGTGAGCTCTGGGCCCGCCCTTCTAAGGAGCAGAGGTGGGCGCCGGAGCCCTGGCCTTCAGGCCCGGCCCCTCTCTCTCGGCTTGGGGAGGAGCCGGGCGGGGGCGGTGTCTGGTGACCCTGAGAGGGTGGCCTGACCCCCGCCCCTCCGGAGAGGAACTTGAGATCAGTTTTGGGAAAGCGCGGCGGTACTGGAGCTTATCCCGGCCCCTTCGGAGTCCCAGGGGGAGGACCTTCCAGGGGCAAGGGCTGCAGGATGGGGAGGAAGGGGAGTGCTCACAGGGATCATGAGGGTGGGAAGAGCCCTGTACCATCGAGGACTCGCCGCGTGACCTTGGGCGAAGACGTTCACACCTCATGGACCCTGATTCCTTACTAGTAAAACCAGGGTAGCAATACTTGGCCCACCACCCTCACTGAGTTGAGGCAAGGATCAGAAGTAGATACTCTGAAACTTGTGAACTGCGGAACAGATGTCAAGGTCAGAAGCTGAACAAATGTCTGTGAGCTCCAGGTTATTTTCGTAACAAATGTCAAAAATAATTGTGGCGGCAGCATATTGAAGTGGGAGAGGAGGGTAGCCGAGAGCTTAGAGCTACGTAGAAGATTAAAAGTACAGAATTTAGAAGAGCAAGGCTGAGACATGAGGTTTCTTAGTAGATTGTTTAGTAGAAGGAGCATTATCTTCTACTAGTGGAGACATTACTGGGTGGTATTATTGTATGGGAGTAGGAAGCTGGGGTTAGGCTTTGCATTGAGTAAGACTGAGCTTTTGTCTTTAAGAAAGCAGGGTGGTGATGATAATGTCATTTATACTGACAAAAGAATTGAGCTGGGAAGAGAAACATTGGGGTTGAGAGGAGTTCAGATACGACTTTACAGTGTTCATCTTGAGCTTGCCAAGTTGTGAATGGCAAGGCAAGCAGAAGTAGTTTTGGAAGTTATCCTGCGTAGGGGTGATATGTGAAAAAGAATACTTGGTAGAAGCAGAGGGAGTGTAAGATAGACTGAAATCACACACAAAAAGTGTGTGGACGGTATTGCTCAAGGAGTTTGGAGAGAAAAGAGCATTTAGAAGTTTGGGTATATTTGTAGATCCCATGGTCTCTGGGAAGCTGCCTGATCTCTAAGGTTTTTTGGTTATAAAATTTGAAGGACTTATGAATATTTGTGTTTTGTTGCTCCACAGAGGTTTCTCCCTCCTTCTGTCTTAATCATAAAAGTGATACTTTTAGAATATAACCAGTTTTGTTTACTTTTTTTAAGTATAAAAAGCAATAAGGTAAATATGAAACACATGTTAATGATTTTTGATAAGATGAACACACTCAGACACTAATTTTATATAAATGTATACATACATATATGTTTGTTTATGTGTGTATGTACTAATTATGTATACAGGAATATGTACGTATGTATATGCACGTGTATATATACATACTGTTTTAATGAGTATTAAAGGAAATCATTTATTATACTCTAGTCAGATGTCATCAAGGAAGGGAGAAAAGGAGGTGCTTTCACACATTTTTGATATTTTGTTTGGTCCACAGAGGAAATCTGAATTAGGTGTAGCTATTAGCCCATTTTCAGAAATAAAATCAATTTAGTGCTGTTCACATCAAGTAAAGCGATGTAACCACAAACTGTCTACCTGGATGAGGACCTCTATAAAAATCATTATGAAATTAATGACTTGGTTATTCGCAAACAGGATTCTACCCATAGAAAGACTTCGTTTAAATAAACGTTTTGAAGCTAATTATTTTCTTCTGTCCGTTTATTCACTCTTTTCAACAGTCATTTCACTTAATGGACAGCCTGCCCTCGGCCTGGCCCTCTGCCATTTGGGGCCTGGCCCTGCTCCTGCTCTTGAGTGTGTTTTTTAATGGGGATTGCAAGTTACCCAAAAGGAAAGACCATAAAAGAAGGATAAGGGAGTAGGCACAGGAGCTTGTAACCTCAGCTTTTCTGCCACAATAAATTGTTGTCTGTCTCTAGGTATCTGATTGACAGCCGGTGGTTCAAGCAGTGGAAGAAGTATGTGGGTTTTGACAGCTGGGACATGTACAATGTGGGTGAACACAACCTGTTTCCCGGCCCGATAGATAACTCCGGACTCTTTTCAGGTGCAGTATCCTGTTGCTTTTTTAGCCAGAATGTCTTCTTGGGCAGTGGCCTGAGGGTGTGTTTATCTGTAGCATGGGCTTTCCCAGTATGAGGAAATAGAAATAAGTATCTTCAATTTTTGTCTATAGCAGAAGTCTGCAGACCCTCAGGGAGAAGTTGAACTGCTTTTTTTTTTTTTTGCTAAATTAACTGCTTCTAACAAGAGGATGCTTCTAGCATTTTAAATTTCTCTCTCTCTCTTTATTTGACAAATTAGCTCTGCTAGCGATTTTGGGTTTTAGATTGGTATATAGAATGGAAAGAAATAGGATATTGTTTTGAGATTGCATCTGGAATCTGAAACTTGGAAACCAGAGTTTTCTGTGTCAGCTTTGCAGTAGAACAAATTGTAGACTGTCGATGTTTGTCGGGCATTCCTGTGATGACTGTGTTTGTCACAGAAGTAGAGTGAAGAGAGGTGGAAGGTCGGTAGGCAGAGTTGCAGCCACAGTCAGTTCCCAATGGGGACTGTGGAAAAAATGATGCATGACACACCTGAGCTTGGCTTGCATCCGTAGATTCAGGAAGACGAGAGTCAGCCTTCCCAGGCCTTGCTCTGCCTGACTTTAGACTTACTCGCAGGCAGGGCAGAGGTGATCTGTTGCCTGTGCCCAGAATCAGGGCAGCAGGAAGGCAGATCATGCATAAGGCTTGATCTAAATACCTAATGCCTACCTGGATATTTTTAAAAATAAGCAACACTTCAGCTCAGACCTTGTCTTAGGGGTGGTCTAAATGACATAGTAAACCAATGCCATTTGCTTTGTTTCCTGATGGAGGACAGAGGGTGGCAGTATACCATGAAGTTGCCCCAACGGTTAGGAAGCATTGCATTATGTTTGCATTTTGCTCTTCGCCTTGTTTTCTTAAAAAGGAGAAATTTTAAGGTTTTAGTATTAATGATGAGAATTCTAGAGCTGAAGGGACCCTCAGGGCATTTTGCGTGGCCTTCGGCTAAGGGAGATCATTCCTTTTGTGGTCCCCCAATTAGATGTCACCTGACTTTGGCTCGAAACGTCTGCTGTGTGCTTGAGAGGTGAGAAGCACATTCCATTCAGACCCTGGAACATTAGCAGTGTAGGAATGACCTATCGCTGGCAAATGAGGTTCACCCTGTTAGTTCCCAGACTCTTGGTTCCTGCCAGTCTCAGTCTAGCTGCCTTCTGCCCAGGGTCATGGGAGTGGTCCGGAAGGGATTCTTAGAAGAGTACGAAGGAGGAGGAAGAGTGTATCCTTGCTGATGTTGTCTGAAAAGCACCCCTTTTCTCATTTCCGCCTGTACTTCTGCTGTGTGTCAGATGAAATCCCTGTGCCAGGACCGAGGCTTTACTCTCATTTTCCCCCTTCATTCACTTCTGCGTTAAAGAAATTTATATAGGGTAAATTCTCATTTTAAAACCCCTGTGTGATTTTTGGCAAGGTACTCTTGGACTGATCCAGCTTGAGTGAAAATAGGGAGCTGCATTGAAAATTCCGGTTAAGTTTCCTGCCCTTGCTCTGTAGTGTCATAGGAATGACTTGTTTGGGAAAATTGTAACTGAGCCACAGAGGGAAAAGAGCCTTGCAGAACTGATGTACTTGGGGTTGATGAAGCTGAAGGCTGTTGGTTTCTTTCCCACATTCGAAGGTTTCTGGTTGATGTTTGACATAGTATGGATGGCTACATCTATGTGGTGCTTAGTATTAGAAATGAGTAAGGTATGTCCCCACAAGTAAGGTAATAAGCAAATGACTTTTATGGAAGGTTTTAATTTGTAAATCAGAAAAAGTTTTGAGTTTAGGTGTCAGTTTTTTTTTTCTTTTTTTTTTGGAAGGTCTTGTCTAAAGCCAACCCATAAGTACTATCCGGGCTAGCCTTCCGGTCCTGAACAGAAAAGGCCTGGTCTTTCAGTGTTAACAATCATGCTGTAGTTGCTGTTGTAAGTAGTTGGCTCATTAATGATGAGGATTCATCTTGGCATTCTTTTTTAAACACACACATGCACACACCTCTGTTTGTCCTCAGTTTGGTGTCAAGTACCCTGGAATAGTTTCTGTGAAAACCCTCCAGCCCCGTAAACTACCGTAAATCCCCAAAAAACCAAATTCATTGCCATCGAGGCCATTCTGACTCCCTCTGTATTTGCCTCTCTTTAACGCAAATTACCATGTGGTGCTTTTTTTTTAAAAACTGTAGTAAAATAATATATAATAAATCATTAGCCGTTTTAACCATTTTTACATGTACAGTTAAGTGACATTAATTACATTCACTATGTTGTATAACTACCACAACTCTCTGTTACCAAATTTTTTCATCACTCCAAACAGAAATGCAATACCTCCCCAGTTCCCCCTCCCTCCCACCCCTGGTAACCACTCATAAACTTTGGTCTCTATGCATTTGCCTGTTCTGGATATTTCATATAAGTGGGATCATATAATATTTGTCCTTTTGTGACTGACTGATTTCACTCAGCATAATGTTTTCAAGGTTCGTGCATGACGTGACATGTATCGGAACTTCGTTTTCCTTTATGGCTGAGTAATATTCCATTGTGTGGGTATACTGCGTTTTATTTACGCCTTGGCGTTCTTGTTCTCAAAGCTATTGAGTTCCTTTCCTTTTTCTTTTGAAATGAGAGGTGGGCTAGGTCAGAAACCAGGAGACCTTATGGGATGGAAACTGGTGGGAGGAGAGGTGGGAAGCCCTGGCTACCTTGTGAATGATGTGTATGTATGTATGTACACACAAACACATATATACATATTTATTTTATTTTTTAAACCTTGTCTGCCTTGAGATCCAGATGAGTTGCATCACTATGAGTGTTTTTTGCTTTCCTAATTTTTTGGCTTCGCTGGTGTGAGTGATAGAAGTGGCTTCCACTGCTCCAGAAGTGTGTGTTGATTGCCGCAGGCTTGTCAGGGAGGCTCCGTTGGTAAGAGGTGATCAGTGTTCCCTTGATCAGTCCCTTTGTCCTCCCTGGAGGAAGTGTGTTTCAGGCCACGGATGTCCGGTTCTGACCCCCAGCGCATGTTGCCTCTCTCTAGTGGGCGTAAGATGAATGGTTAGCACATTAAATATGTTCTCCCGCGACGGGATTGTCCAGTTGGGCTTTGACTTGGAGTATTTAAAACTAAGAATGCTAAATGATTCTTGGTAAAATAAACCTTTCAAGGGAAGACTGCGGTGACTTTAGTGCAGTTATCACTGAGCAGAATATTGTGGTAAATATTCATAACTAGCTGTTTTAATTGTGGGATCTGAAAGTTCTTTGCAAATGTAAATTGGAGTTTTTCTCTTTTATATTCTCCTTTCTCATTGTAGAAGAAATACAAGTTCCTCATAAAATGTTCAGAAAACATGGCTATAGGCAAGGAGCAGTCAGATCTGTTCTTTGCTATGGCCAGAGACAGAATTTTGGAGTTTTGTCCCTGTTCCTGTAAATACTTTTATTGTTTCTGAAAAATACATAAGAACCAGGTAACACAAACATTTCTGAGGAGAAGAGGAGCAAGTTATGGGTTCTTTTCCTTTTTCAGATCCTGAGAGTCAGACCTTAAAAGAACACTTAATTGATGAACTGGACTATGTATTGGTTCCAGCTGAGGCCTGGAATAAGTTACTAAACTGGTATGGCTGTGTTGAAGGCCAGCAGCCCATTGTCAGAAAAGTGAGTATGTGAATTGTCACGCTTGCTGTGGGTCCTCCCCAGGGGACACTGACTGGTGTTCATTTCCTGGGTAACAGAACAGACCTAAGGGGTTGAATGGAGGTGTTCAGGCCTTGTTTCTGGTTCTCTTAGGGAGTTATGGTTGTGAGTGATGGTGAGTGAGACTGCTCACCCAGCATGTTACAGTGAGTGAGCTCCAAACATCAGTGCTGCCTAATAGCATGGGGTATGCCCAGCACTGCCGTGAGAGCACTTTCTGGAAGACTCTATAGGAGAAAGTTCACTTGAGGTATATGGACATTGAGTAATGTATTGCTTCTTGTTTATCTTAAAACCTTTTTGATACTGCTTTCCCCCATGCTTAAAGAGTCTTTGGCCACACTGTGGAGTAACTCAAAAGGCATTCAGAGAAGATGAGCCTCTTGAAGGAAACCTGGCTCTGGGACAGAAACCCAGATTATAAACCCCCTCTGGTAGACAGGACTTCTAAGGAGGCCATCGCCCTGGCTCCCACAGTTAATTTGCTTATTCCACCAGAGGGGAAATCATAGGAATCCACACACCTGCTGATATTTAGACATTGGGTAAATTTCTTGCTCCGCCGTGCATGGGGTTCCCCTTCTTACATAGTAGGGCAGAGCTGCAGTCCTGATACCATGCTCCCAAGGGTTGCTGTTCAGGGTCAGAGTTACCTTTTTCTCCAGCTTGAAACCTGAGACTCTGAGAAGATTTAGGTTTCACAAGATTAGGGGCATGCCAGCCTCCTGCAGACATCCCCTTAGTGCCCACAGTGCTGTCATGTGGGAAGTATTCTGCCCAGGGCTTTACCTATATGTTCTAGTCCTCTAACTCAGCGAGCCCTGCGAGGCATCGTGATCCCCCTGATCCCTGAGATGAACAACGACGTCCCTGTTGTATAGTGTCTGATGTTAACTCTGGCTTATGGGCAAGTGTAGCTCCTCTTTTCTGGTAATTATTTCTCAGTTAATGAGTCAGTTAGCTTTTGAACTTTGGGTATTGACCATCTGGTGGTTGTCCAGTGCTATGTTATAGATATGCAAAGTAATTCTTTATAGTCAGGCATGTATTTTAAGGAGAAAGAACAGTTGATAACGGTTGATTTTTGCTGAGTCTGAGACAAGACCTTCCTGTTCAAAGCTGACCTCCTGGAACCTTCCTGGAGGCTCTGATGTGGTTGCCCTGCATTAAAACCAGTGGGGAATGGGCTTCTCTCTGGTTCCATCAAGAGGTCAGGGTGCTCTTGTTTGGTCCTAGTGAGTGGAAAAGATTTCTAAACTCTTGGGACAGGCGCTAGTGGCTTTTTAAATCTGTATTTCTGATCCTCTGATCACTCAAGGAAACCAATTATCTGGTGGTTTCTGCCTTTGCCACTGATGAGACTTGTTGCTTCCAAGATTGCCCAGGTGTGGAACCACTGCTCCTTCACCCGTGACTATTGCCCGCAGGTCGTGGAGCATGGCCTGTTTGTCAAGCACTGCAAAGTAGAGGTATATTTGCTGGAACTGAAGCTCTGTGAGAACAGTGACCCCACCAATGTGCTGAGTTGCCATTTCAGCAAGGCAGACACCATCGGTGAGCAGCTGGGCTGGGGTCCCAGGTGTCTGGTGAGAGAGTACAGCGGGAGGGAAGCTGAGATCTTCAGATCGTCAGCCAGATAATATCGGGCTATGGTTCCCACTGCTGACCTGGGAGCCTGCTCCCCAGGGGATTCTTGTGGGAAGCCAGGCCTGGGAATCATGTTCTACACAACATTGGGAATATTCTTTGCCCATTTGACATATGATAATAAAAGATGAGGAAACGCAGATTCAGAGAGGCTAAACTTATTCAGAATCTTAGAACATGGCGGAGCTGGCATTTGAAACTAGATCTGTTTTAACTCTAAAGACAAGTTTTCTCACTTACCTGTGTTGCTTCTATGCTGTAAATGGGACCCACACATCAGAGAAGGATAAAGATAGGGAATATTTCCAGGCATGTGAGCACAAAAGGACACCCATAGATGATATTGGCCCTTAGAAGTCACCAAGGGGTTGAGGTTAGTCAGAAGTTTTGATCCAGAGCACCCTGTGAATATCGGAAAAGGAAGGATGAGTGTTAGCTAGCCATGGCTGTCATTAGTGTTGCATCTAGAGAAAGCCCTGAGTATTGTTTCTGCCTGTCCCCAGCAACCATCGAGAAGGAGATGCGGAAGCTGTTCAACATCCCTGCGGAGCGTGAGACGCGGCTCTGGAACAAATACATGAGTAACACCTACGAGCAGTTGAGCAAGTTGGACAATACTGTCCAGGATGCTGGGCTATACCAGGGTCAGGTAGGAGGGCCCAGGCCATACCCCAGCAGGCAGTTCTGCCCAGAATGTGTGACCAGGTACCTTCTGGTTCTAAGCATGTTGGGAGTAGGGTGGCTTACATGTTCCTCATTTGCTTTTCCCTTTCACTCAGGTGCTAGTAATTGAGCCCCAAAATGAAGATGGGACATGGCCCAGGCAGACCCTGCAGTCAAAGTAAGTGAACTTTTTCTCCCTCATGACTGGGCTCACAGGTATGAGAGAGACACCCTTTCCTAAGGCAGTTGTTTGTGCTAAGAAAAATTGTTCTGAATCAGATGAAAAAGACATTCAGTCCTGCATCCAGAATCCAGGATCTTGGATGAAGGTCCTGGCCTTTGGTAAGCAGTGTACCAGGCAGCCACCTAGAGGAAATCTGTCAGGGTGACTCAGCAAGAGATGAGAGAGTGTCAAAGAAAGAGAAGGGGCTGGGATCTGGGAATGCTGCTCTGCCAAGCTGTGGCTTTGTTTTTGTCATGCTCTTTCATTTTCTCCACTTACAGTAAGAGGCTTGGATGGGAAAGAAGACAGTCTCATATGAATTAAAGAGAGTAGTTTGATCCTACCACACTCTTTACTCAGTGGCGTGTTACTTCATTGTTGCCCTTGGAGCTTGCTGGGGGGAATTACTCTGCTTCTAAACTTGGACTCTAGGCACATCTATCTCAGGAGAGGTTTATGTGGTATGTGGAATTGTGCATGTCCTTAGGAGAGGAGAGAAAGAAGCAATGAATTTTTCTTCTGGTATAAGATGGAAAAGTTGTATCTGTGTTCCATTAGTTGTTGGGACAATGTGTCTGCTCTCCTTCAGTTGGGCCTTGGACGGTGACCATTATATAACGATGGGCTCACAGCTCCTTTGAGAACTGTGAAAGCTATGAGCCCTCTCTTGAGAAACATGCATGAAGACAAAACATTTTGCAAAGAATTTCAAGCCCCACTGTGACCTCCAGGCTGAGTCCTGCTTGCCAGTTCCTAACAGGATAACATAGCTGTGGTAGGTAGAATAATGGCCTCCAAAGATGTCCACACACTAATCCACAGAACCTTACATGGGATGTTAGCTTACATGGCAAAAGGGGTTTCGTGGATGTCATTAGGCTAAGGATCTCGAGATAGGGAAATTGTCTTGGATTAACTAGGTGAGCCAGGGTAATGACAACGGTCTTTATAAGTGAAAGAGGGAGGCAGGAGAGTCAGAGAAGGAGATGTGTGAGGATGGATGCAGAGTCAGAATGATGCAGTGTGTGAAAGACTGGATTGGCCATAAACCGGGGAATGTGGGCAGCCTCTAGAACCCCTTAAGGCCTCCACGAAGGAATGCAGCTCTGCTAACACCTTGATTTTAGCTCAGTGAGAACCATTGCAAACTTCTGATCTCTAGAACTGTAAAATAATAAATTTGTGGTGTTTTAAGCCACTAGGTTTGTGGTAATTTTTTTATAGCAACAATAGGAAACTATTAGCCCAGGCTGCTAAGTCTGTTTTTGGAACTGGAGATGCCACAGAACGGAGAGAAAATAATGTGAAAACTGTGAGAACCCCTTGAGGTGACAGAAGGTGGTTGGATTCCAGACTGTGAGGTGGAGTTGACAGCTCAGTAAAAGAGGACTGTGTGTTCTGGCCAAGGGTGAGTTCCCTTTTCTCTTCTCAGTGTTGTTTCTCCCCACCCCTTCCACACCCTAAGGCCAAAGAGATTCCAATGAAGGGAGACAGTATTTGGAAAAGAGCAGTGCCTCACTGAGATTCCCTGAAGGGTAGTCTTCTGGTGACATGTGGCCAGTGGGGAGTGAGCTGAGTGGAATTCCCAAGGCACATCCCCTTCCCCATTCCCCACATAGTGGGAGGCACTGCCTAGATGCTGGGGATACAGCAGTAAACAAAACAAAGTCTCTGTCCTCAAGGAGGAGAAAATAAACAGATAAATAAGAAAAATGCACATTTTCAATGGTTTATAAGCGTTGTGGAGAAAAGTCAGGGAAGAGAATTAGCGAGTGCTGGGCTTTGGGGAGTGTCTTAGTCATCTAGTGCTGCTATAACAGAAATACCACAAATGGATGGCTTTAACAAAGAGAAATTTATTCTCTCACAGTCCAGTAGACTACAAGTCCAAATTCAGGATGTCAGCTCCAGGGGAAGGCTTTCTCTTCTCTGTTGGCTCTGGAGGAAGGTCCTTATCATCAGTCTTCCCTTGGTCTGGGAGCATTTCAGCTCAGGAACCTCCGGTCTGAAGGATGTGCTTTGTTCCTGATGCTGCTTCCTTGGTGGTATGAGGTCCCCACGTCTCTCTGCTTGCCCCTCTCTTCTATATCTCAAAAGAGATTGGCTTAAGACACTATCTGATCTTGTCGATTTCATCAGTATAACTGCTGCTAATCCATCTTATTAACATCGTGGTGATAGGCTTTACAATACATAGGGAAATCGCCTCAGATTACAAAATGGTAGACATTCATACAGTATTGGGAATCATGACCTAGCCAAGTTGACAGGTATTTTTTGGGGACACAATTCAATCCATGACAGGGAGGGACAGATTGAAGCAGGATGGTGGGGAAAGCCCCACTCAGGTGTCCTCTGAACGTGGTCATGAAGGAGGTGAGGGAGTCAGCAGTGATATGGTGCTTAATTGGGAGAATAACACTGTAAGGTAGAAGTGACAGCAGGTATGGAAGTCCTGAGGCAGAAGCAAGCCTGGTTGAAGACCAGCAGGGGTCTTTGGTGGCTGGAGCTAGGAGTGATGAGGGGAGGATGGTGGAAGGATAAGGCCTGAGAGGTGAAGGGGTGGTGGACCGTATGATCCTTTTGAGACTCGACTCTGGCTTTGCCTCTAGGTAAGTTGGGGAGCCCAATGGGTGGGGTGGGGCTGTGGGGGTGTGAGTGAATGGAGAAGTGGTGTGATTTCACTTGGTGAATAGTTTACAGGGAACCAGTAGGTAAAGCTGATGAGTGTAGTTGCTATAAAAGGAAAATGACAAGTGGGCAGCCTATGCTAGTTGGAGCAGAATTCATGTTCCAGGCAGCACAAGAGGATGAAGTAAGAATAAGAAATATCCTTAGGAAAAGGAGGAAATGGGTACATGAATCAGGAACAAGTAGACATACTAGGAAAGAAAGAGTTCAGGGGATGGTTGAGTAGTAGAATAGATGTAGCTGAAGACTGAATGAACAAGTTGGATGGTCAGGTTGAAGAATTCTAGGAGTCATTATGAAGAGATAAAGAGGTGGAAAATAATAGAAGAAAAGTTGTGCTATGGTAAGAGGAAGTAGAAATGTCAATATCCACGTAATAGGAATCTCAGAAACAGAAGAAGATGGGGACGAAGGGAAGAAAACATTAGGAGAAATAATGACCAAGAGTTTCTTAGAAATAAAAAAAGATAAAAGATCTTAAATTTAAGGAATACCAAACAGGATAGATAGAGGAAAGCCCACACCTAGACAGGGTGAAGCTTAACAACAAAGCAGAAAATTCCAGATCCTCTTAACAGTAGCAGTGGATCTAAGATACTTTTTTCAGTGTCAGAGGAAAAGAACTTTAAAAGTAGAATTTCATATCTTGCTAAACTATTATTAAAATATTCAGGTGAAACATTTTTCTTAGGATATATGACCTTAGAAAGTTGTCCGCATAGTGCTCCTCTTTGAAAACCCTTTGGAGGAAATGCTGTTGGAATCCGGGGACACGCAGTAAGATCCGTGGGGTGTGAAGGAGAGCACACACAACTAGTGAAGTGCTCGGTTGCCCAGAAAAGCAGGGACCTCGGGGCTTTCGAGTAGGCGAAGATTTCTTAAACGGGACACAGCACCACAAACCATAGAGGAGGAAATAGATAGAGGGATGACTTTTAATTAAGAACATCAGAAAAATAAAAATATCATTTATAACTTTGAAACATGCAGCATCAATTAGAAATGGTTTGGTGGCAAGTAAAACCTGAAAGTGTGTTAAGCAAGATAGATGTGTGTATCTTTTTAAAATGTCCCAGAAATCGCACATAAAACCTACCTTTACATTTTTTTTCCCAGTTATATGACCACATCTGGCTTTAAGGGAGGCTAGGAAATGCCTTTTAGCAGGGTTGCAAACTCCCCTACTAAAAATTGGGCTTTAAACTATGGAACAATGAGAGAATAACTATTGGGAGCTAACCAGCAAACTGCCATACCTGCAAAAGGAAATAAAATGGAAGACAGGAGGAAGAAAAAAAGTGTGGTAATTAAAAACCATGAAGTACAGAGGCTGAATTAAGCCCAGCTATAACAATAATTGCGGCCCTGGTGGTGCAGTGATTAAGAGCTTGGCTACTAATGAAAAGGTCAGCAGTTCGAATCCACCAGCCCCTCCTTGGAAACCCTAAGAGGCAGTTCTACTCTGCCTATAGGGCCGCTATGAGTCGGAATCGACTTGAAGGCAGCAGGTTTGGTTTTTCAACAATAATTGCTGGAGAAAGACCTGGTAAAGATTACATAGAAAACCCTGTGGGGCAGTTCTAGTCTGTCACATGCAGTTGCTGTGAGTCAAAATCAACTCCATGGCACCTAACAACAGCAACAACGTAACAGTAATCAGAGTAACTATAGAGGGTTTGAACTCACTGATCAAAAGAGACAAACTTCTAGATAAGATATTTAAAAAACCAAACGTGTTCAGTAATAATGACTATTGAAGACAGGTTGAAATGGACAGAATGAAAAATACATCAGCTCCAGTTTGTCATCTGGGGATAGTCACTGATTGGCTTAGTGCCTCTTTTTTTAAAAACCCACCATCATGGTAATTTTACATATTTCCTGGTGGGAGGACAGCATAGTGAAGTTGTTTTCGTGGATGGATTCCTTGGTTGTCCACTGTGAGGACCACTTTGTAAATTCTGAGCATTTTCAGATAGTTGTCTTTTCCTGGTGGATTGCTCCAGCCTTTGTGTTAGTGTTTCACAAGCATTTCTGTAGACCTGGCCTCATCTTCTCTCTTTAACTTCACTCACCTGAGGTCTGTAAGGCCCAGTCAGCCCTATACCATGTTCCCCTTCCAAGGCTGTGTGCACACAGCCAGAAGAGGGACAGTGTTCCTTGCAGTGAAGAGGGCCTCCTCCACATGCTGATGAGGATTAACTGTTGGTGCGGAGAGGTTGCAGCTTAGGGTGTTGTGAAGACAGTTCTGTCTGTGTTAGAGTTCATTGCTATCTTAACAATAATGCCAGATGCAGGACTCTGGATACTTGAGGTCAGGCTTAAAAGATAGACTCCTCCTTAGAGCAGCACTGAACCTTGAGAAGCAAGCAGAGTGCACATCTCTCACCAGACCTGCCACTCTCTGCTCACAGGAATCTTGGAGCAAGGAGGGTAGACGTAGGCTATGTCTGGTTTGCTGGGGCCTCATTTTGGGCGTGGACATGGATGTGTCACAGGCCTCAGTCGTGGGTTCACGGGCATGTTTGAGTTGTCATACTTGGGGAACAGGAAATACCACAGTAGAAAGGTGTTGGGAGTCCAGAGGCTTGACCAGAGTATCTTTTGGGAGCAGAGACATCCTTATTTAAAGTTGTGGCCTCTGCGTTCAGAGTGTTTGCTGCATGAGACCTAGTCACAATTCAGAATGAGATCTTGCCTCACCTAATGTGTATGCCTGAAATTCAGGCGTTTCCCATGATGCTGGTTTCCCAGCCTGCAGTACTCCAGGATGCCCCTGGACCCAGTGGCCAAGCATTCCCCCGATACGAGTCACTTCTCTGCATAGAGTTCTTGCTTTGATTTGTCTTGTCTGTCAAGGTTGAGTTTTTGAAAAACTTAGTATCATGTAAATTTTCAAGCATATGTACCCTCGTTAGATATCCTTTTTACCAAATTTACTATGAAAACTGGTAGCAGCATTTTCTAGAATATTGTAAACAAATGTTAAATAAAATATTTTTTTGTTTTCTTCCAGCCAGAAATGTTCTCTCTTCTTTTTATAGAATTGACAGGTCTTGATATATGTAATGGCTTTTATGGAATTTTTTTTTTTTTTTCCATTTAAGCTCAGGGGAGTAAGTTACCAGTGAACAGAACAGTTACTGAAAAGGATCTGGGGAGACCATATGCCTGAGGGTTCTGTACATCAGAGTTTGAATTTCATACTCCTGTAGCACCTGTCTCCAGTTCTGAGATGACTGAGTCCGCCACTGCATCTCAGACAAGCAGACCATGGGTGGTGGACTTTTCTGCCTGCGTAGGCTGGGGAATGTCTGCATCTCATTGGACAGGTCTGAAATGTGTGCCTCAGTCACCTGTAAGGTGGAAGAGCATGCCTTGGCTATAATAAGTCTCACTTAATGCAGCTGACTTAATGAGTTCTTGGACTCCTTTGCAGCATGAGGATGAGGCTGTGTGAAGCAAATCCTCTTGAGGATCAGAGAAGATGCCTTTCCCTATGGGAATGTGAAAGGCTGGAGGAGTCCTCCCTCCCTCTCCCTCTCTGTGACCTCAGAGGGTGGAACAGAGCTTGATTCCTGGTGTCCACATACGCCCCTGAATAGTTTCCTGACGTTTGCCCACTGCTGGTGTGGGCAAAATCACTCCTCATTTCTGCTGCTGCGTTTCACTTTCTTTTCACAGGGAGCCCGGCATGAGATCAGATCCCATGACGTTGGGCACTGTGCCAGGACAGCACACCTTCTTAATCACTTTCTCTATTCTAAAAATAACCCAGTATTCCAGAAGGAAAATCACAGTTGCACATATTTGAAATGGTGTAGAAAGATCCATTTTCTTCTATATGTTCTTAAACATATTTTAGTAGAAGATTGATAAAATTGATAGCAGTTTAAGATTTGGGGTAGTTAGCCCTTGAATTAATCTGAAAGGCATAAATCTACAATAAGATTTGATGAAAAATATTGAAAGATGAGTTTGAAATAGGTTTCTTTAATTCTCCTTTATTCACTTTTGGTAAATTTAAGGGAACAAAATAATTCCCATTAAATGGCATAGTAAAACCAAACTGCCATTTTCCTGTTCTAGTGTCCTTATAGCCAGCTATTTAATTTGAGTCAAGTATTTTTGAGGAAATTCATTCCTTACTGCCATTTTTCTGTGTCTTTCACTGGTACCTGTTAAAATTCAGGGAAGCTTGTGATTTAGAAATCAAATCAGCATGCCCTGAAACACTTGATAGTTTATCCTACTAAAAGGTTCAGTATATGAGCATGTGGACAGATGAGACAGGAAGACTAATTAATTTGTTGACTCTCACTTAAATGAAATTTATCTTGAAGTAGCATGAAAACATGCTTTTTGCAATTTATCTTAAATGACTCAATACGGAGAATGTTTAGTTTTTAAGAAGAGACCTAAGGCATTAAATAGGGCTTGCTCTTTGCAAAAAGTCAGTAGCCTTGTTTCTGCTTCTCTCTCCCAGATCAAGCATTGCGCCTAGCAGAAATTTTACTACCTCTCCAAAATCATCAGCAAGTTCCTATTCCTCAGTGTCTGCCTCTCCCATTGCCAATGGTGATAGCACTAACACCTCTGGGATGCACGGTTCCGGTGTCAGCAGGGGGTAAGAGCAGGCCCCGTTCACTTTGCTTCCCTTTTCTCTGAGTCTTTAGTGAGTTGTTCCTGGATAGCTCCTCTGCTGCTACACTAAGCCTAATGGGATGAGAGTTCCCCGTGGGAATGCGCTGCATGTGGTTTCTCACTCCATTTCATACCCACAGTAAAGGGTGCCTCTCTCTTACATTGCTTGCTTTGCTGGGAGCTGGTTTTTCCCCATGGCCCTAGTCCCCTGTGGTTTTAGAGGGTGGCTGCATTTGTTTGTGAAAGGACAGGCTGGCCATATGGCAGAATAGCTGTGAGAGGATGGTTCTCAGCTGTAGGGGAGCCCTGCCTGTTTCCCTTCTGGATTGCCATGACCCTTTCTCAAGCATTGCAGGAGCACCTACCACGTGGCATAGACAGGGTAGAAGAGGCAGGTGAGATGAGAGAAGGTGCATGAACACTCAGGCCCAGGTGAGGCTGGATGTGGGCTGGTGGATGGTGACAGGGCAAACTCTTGGCTTGTAACCAAGACGTTCTTCCCTGAAGTCACCAGGCAGGCAGTGTTCTGGAGGGATATAAAAATTAGCACTTGCTAAAGCCTGAGAGAGAAAGATTCAAAGAATATTTTTCCCCTTAAAGGTGTGCTTATCACCTGCGGTGTGGGGTGAGAGTAAAGGACTGAGGAGGGGAGTAGAGGGAGCTTGTGTCGTGGGATTACTACCAGACAGGAATTCTAAAGGGTCTGGAGGAGCCCCAGAAGGCATCCTGAGGATATGCGTACTACATTCACTTTTATCGTTGATATGGATTGTGTTTTCCAGTGGATCTGGCTTCTCTGCTTCATATAATTGTCAGGAGTCCCCGTCGTCTCACATACAGCCTGGGCTCTGCGGACTTGGAAACCTAGGAAACACCTGCTTCATGAACTCCGCTTTGCAGGTAGAGGGGAGAGCTGCCATCTGAACAACATCATGTTTCTCATAGCACTTTGAGGCCTGAGCGGGAGTGGCCTGCTAAGGTTCTGGGTAGATCCTTTCCCAGAGGTCCCCATCTGTCCCTGCCTCAGGTTCAGTAATTTGCTGGAAGGACTCAAAAACTCATTGGAAGCTATTATATTCATGGTTACAGTTTATTACCAGGAAAGGGTATCGATTAAAATCAGCCAAGGGAAGAGGTGCATAGAGCAGAGTCCAGAAGGATTCCAAATGTGGAGCTTCTTCTGTCCTCTCCCTGTGAAGTCCGGGGGTGCCACTCTCCTGGAATTAATGTATGACGGTATACGCTGAGTACTGCCAGCCTGGGAGCTCACCCAGTCTTCGGTGCCCAGAAAATGAACAGTTAAAAAAGACAGGTTAAAATTCCATGATTTAAGTTTCCATCTCACAATGCTAGAAAAAGAACAAATGAAACCCAAAAGAAGGAAATGATAGAGATAAGAACAAAGATTAGTGAAATACAAAGCAGATTTATAATACAGCCAAATTGGTTCTTTGAAAAAACTAATAAAATTGATAAATCCCTAGGAAGACTGATCAGGAAGAAAAGAGAAAACACAAATGACCAATAGCAAAAATGAAAAAAAGGGCATCACTGTAGAACCTGTAGACATTAAAAAGATTATTAGAAGATAGTAGAATAACTTTATGACATTAAATTGGATGATTTAAATGAGATAGACAAAGCGCCTAGAAACGCACAACTTATCAAACTAACACAAGAAGAAATAGAAAATCTGAGTAGTCCTTATACGTTAAAGAAGTTGATTTGGTAATTAAAAGTCTCACAACAAAGAAAATTTTGTTCTGGATGGCTTTACTGGTTATTGTATTTAAAGATTTAAGGAAAAAAATTATACCAATCGTATATAAATTGTTCAGGGAGCAGAAAAAGAAGGACAACTCTACAAGTCATTTTACAAGGCAGCATACCCTGATTCCTAAATCTGACAAGTTAAAGGAAAATCTCATGATTATAGACATAAGTGAAGTAAAATTTTAGCAAATCAAATTCAGTGGTATCTAAAAATGATAACTCGTGACTAAGTGAGGTTTGTGCCAGGAAAGGTAGGTTGGTTTAACACTTGAAAATCGGTGTGTCATTTAACATAGTAACAGAGTAAAGGAGAAGACCATGATTATCTCAATAGATACAGAAAAAGCCATTGATACAATTCAGTACCCATCTTCATTTTGAAATTTGAAGAGTTAAAATCAGTATACACATGTACAATGATTTATTGGATTCTGTACAGGCAGTCCCTGGGTTATGAACATCTGACTTACGTACAACCCGTAGTTAGGAACCAACCCCTGTAAAGCCTGTCAGGAGACAAATGACTTGGTGTTTGGGCCCCTAGGCTCCCATGATGGGCTGCACTTTTCCTGCGTGCACAGTTGCCACTGCAGGTCCTTGGGCAGCTGCTGGTGGTGAGTGGGCCCCTGTCACATGGCTGGCAGTGAGCAGAGAGCCCACATGTACCTGCCTCCCTTGGAGCTCGGAAAGGGCCAACCCCACTGACTGAGTGCCACGGCTCAGCTCCACATGGCTGGCCTGCAGGTGGTGGCAGCTGGCAGGGATGTGGGCACCGTGCTGTAAGTGTTCTTTGAGTACAACTGGTCACTCACCACACGGCACACCGCCAGGCCTCCTTGACATCCCCTTACCCAGCTCTGCTCAACCCTTTCCCTCTGGGCCCTCCATGCTGTGCAGCTCAGGGCCTTTGCAGCACCTCTCTGGGCTTCTGTTTCCCCTACCTTACACGTGTAGGATTTCACTGTTGCAGCAGTTCTTGGCCTTTTGGTGGCTAGAAGAGGGTGGGGCAGTCATAGATTCCTGACTTCTGTCTGTCCATATGGTTTCCGGGAGTCCGCAGAGAACTTTGGACTTGGGTTTCCACAAGTGTCCTCTTCCCAACCCTTTGGCCCAGGGCTCACTCTTAGCACATCCTGAGTGGCACTTTCTCCCTTGCATTCTGAGGCAGGGGCCTCATAGTTGGTGTGTGGCGTTGACAGGTCTAGTGAGGAGGGGTGGAATGATCCATCTGGCCCCAGCACAATCCTACCCACGCCCCCGACCCTCCCTGCCTCTGCTGAGGATGGTTTAAAACCCAGCAGAAATGTGGCCAGTGGTACAATGTAGACTTTTTAGTTCAGAGTCTACAATAAAGTATCTGACTGGTTTGAAAGATTTTACAGAACAGAAATCTTCGGAGTATTTTGGGTAATGTTTGCCCTGTAGGTATCTTTTCAACTGTAGAGAAGGTACATACAATGGTTTGTGATAAAAAAATGAGGGCTACTTTGTGATGCACATCAAAACGTTATTACTATATTATGTTGAAGATGTTTTAGTGTATCTGAAAGTATTTCTTTAATGTTTTTTATGCATAGAAATGTACACTATATGCTATTTAATAAGACTAAACATTTTACTAACTGACGTTAGATAAGAACCATACCTAACTGTTCCAACTTACATACAAATTCGACTTAAAGACAGACTTAGGAATTGAGCTTGTTCCTAATCCGGGGATTGCCTATACTGTCTTGATTATCCTGATTTTTCCCCCCTTAATGTTTTGACTTCAGTAAAACGTCTTGCCTTCAGCTTATTAATATTTTGTCTTCTCATGAAACACTGGGACGTCCAAGTCACTTCCACTGAAAACAAAAATTATTTATTATCCCCTCTGTGCCAGGTAGTTGAGGTACACAGCTTTTGCCCTTGGTAGCTTCATGTTTCAGAGACAGGGACTTAGGCAGTGAGCTTCAGTTCCACCAAGACCATGTCCCTGGGACGTTAGCTACGAGGTGGTCCACCAGCTCAGGCTCCAGGGAAGCTGTGCCTTACCCTTGTGAGCCTTTTAGAGAATTTTCTGAGTGCTTCATTTTGTTGGGGTTGAGAACGTGGTTTATATTGTATCTCTGTGCTGTCTGGAAGGGATGTGAGCCCTGGTCATGTTCTGTTTCAGTGCCTGAGCAATACTGCACCACTGACTGACTACTTTCTCAAAGATGAGTATGAGGTGGAAATCAACAGAGATAACCCTCTGGGGATGAAAGGGGAGATTGCAGAAGCCTATGCAGAACTCATTAAGCAGATGTGGTCTGGAAGGGATACTCATGTGGCGCCTCGCATGTTCAAAGTAGGTTTGGGTATATGCTTCCTTTGTCCTGCTTTGTGGAGAGTGGTTTAATGTTGTAATGAGGCATTTCTTTACATGCAGCTTGGGATTAAGATGTGATCTGAGAAGAAAAGCACCACACCACACAGTCAGACTCTTGTCATTCAGTCATTCAGCCCCTTTATTCAGTGCACACTTTTCTTAAATGTTCTTCACTCCCACCTCTGAGTTGGGGGTGCTCCCCAAGTCATTTGTAAGCTGGTTGCTCAGAATACCATAATCTGTAATGACAATCTTTAAATAATCATTTTCTTAAGCCAGACCATAAAAATTCAGTTGAACTTCTAAAGGGTTCTCCTAGGTTCTCTGAGACTGGGCCCTAAACCTAGCCTGTCATTTGAGTTGGGCCCCCGTAAGTCAGGAATTGGGTTGATATTCTTGGAAGGTGATCGGGGGCAGTTCTTACTTGGGTCCCTCAGCCAAGAAGATTTGGGGAACAGATGGGCAGACTGCAGCTCAGGCTTTCCATTGCCCTAAATGTTTTTTCCTGGTGAGGGAAAAGTACCTTGGTCCCCATATGCTTAAATCTGAGAGATCCTCTCTTTAGCCTTCACCACTGGGGTTCAAGGGGCCTCCATGAAGCACATAGTAGAAAAGGTGTGCATGTTTCTGATTCAAAGAGGAAAAATAAAATTGCTCAATGAGAAAATTAAAATCTCAGGTAGTTTATTAAAATTGAAAACTAATTCTTTTCATCTCCTTAGTCACATTAATCTCTGAGGAAATATACGTAATTATTTACATACTAAGTCATGAAGAGACTAGCTCAAACTAGTATAAGCAATTGGCGGATAGTATTTAAGGGTGTTAAGGAGCCCTGGTGGTGCAGTGGAAAGCACTCCGCTGTTAATTGGAAGGTTGGCGTTTTGGACCCACCAGCCACTCCGCAGGAGAGAGATGTGGCAGCCTGCTTCTGCAAGGATTACAGCCTTGGAAACCCTACGGGGCAGTTCTACCCTGACCCATAGGGTTGCTATGAGTCGGCATTGACTCCATGGCAGTGGGTTTGGTTTGATTCTTTAAGGATGTTAAGGGGTAGTGTAGAGCTTTCTCAATGATGGACATGTTCTGCATCTATACTGTCCAGTACGGTGGCCACTAGCCACGTCTGACTACTGAGCACTTGAAATGTGGTTAGTGTGACCAAGGAACTGAGTTTTTCATTGTATTTCATTTTAATTAATTTAAATTTAAATAGCCACATGTGGGTAGTGGACAACACAGGTGCAGAGTAGTGGTTATCAAATTTTAGGATGCATCAGAATCTCTTGGAGGGCTTGTTAAAACACAGACTGCTGGTCCCATCTCCAGAATTTCTGATTGAGTAGGTCTGGGCTGTGGCCTGAGAATGTGCATTTCCAACAAGTTCCCAAGTGGTGCTGATGTTGCTGGTCTAGAGGCCACACTCTGAGGACCATTGGTGTAGACTAATACAAGGCAGACAGTTGTTTAGGGATCTAAAGGATGTTACGTGTCTGAGGATTCCTCTGGCTGATGCAGGTATAATTTCTAAAGTTCTTGTGAAGACTGAACCAAAGAAGGAAGTTGGAGAGGGATTCGTGTCAGTACTTAGGTATGGCTCCTTGGGGTGCCACTTTCCCTCTTTCTCTTGGGGTAGGCTGGCCCAGGTTCCAGGTCCATCGTTGTTCTGGCTTTCTGATCTGAGCCCTCTCTCTAGTGGGAACCACTAGCATCGTTTAGGCACCTCCAGAGTTAATCGGGCTACTCAACCAGGTCCTGCTCTCCTCACCATCTCAGCTGACTCTGCAAAGCTGTTTTTGATAATTTTCATCTGACTTCACTGCTTCTTTTTATGTTATGCCTTCTAATGTGGTTGCTTTTGTCGTAGACCCAGGTAGGTCGTTTTGCCCCTCAGTTCTCTGGCTACCAGCAACAAGACTCTCAGGAGCTATTAGCCTTTCTTCTAGACGGATTGCATGAAGATCTGAACCGAGTGAAGAAGAAGCCCTACTTGGAGCTGAAGGATGCCAATGGGCGGCCAGATGCGGTATGATATTGAAAATTCCTGAACAGTGATATTCCAAAGAAGCTACCTCCTGTTGAAAATGAGGGGATGTTCTTCTGGTCTTTGAGTGTTTGTGGCTGGGATGTGGACTCAGAGAAAGGCATTCCAGGTCCAAAAGGGGTTAACTCGAGCTACTCCTGTTCCCACATGGGCTTCTTTGAATTAAAGTCAGCTTGTTTAGTATGACCTCATTGGTGAACCAGAGACTAGGGCACTCTGAAATCTATAAAGTGCTTATAGTGGGGGACTTTCAGATTGTTATTGCTCTCCTTAAAATCTATGCATGATTATTAAAATCACTTTTATTAATATTAGTAAGGCATTTATACCCTTTCCCTTGATTTTCTGATCTATGAAAAGGGGATTTAGTATTTCAGCTACCCTGTCACATAGAGGAGGAGCCCTGGTGGTGCAGTAGTTATGTGCTCAGCTGCTAACTGAAAGGTCAGCGATTCAAACCCACCAGCTGCTCTGTGGGAGAAAGGTGCGGCAGTCTACTTCCGTGAAGATTACAGCCTCGGAAACCCTATGAGGCAGTTCTGCTGTGTCCTATAGGGTCGCTATGAGTTGGAATTGACTTGAAGGCAGTGGGTTTGGTTTTTTTGGTTTTATTACATAGAGGCGATCAGCATGGATGCTTTAAAATAGCATTTAGATCTTAAAGGAAAAACCATGAGTTACACAACTATAAAATGCTGAACCTGTAGTATAGATTAAGGAGCCTTGGTGGCGCAGTGGTTAAGTACTCAACTGCTAACTGAAAGGTCAGCGGTTCAAACCCACCAGCTGCTCTGTGGGAGAAAAGACCTGGTGATATGCTCAAGTAAAGATTACAGCCTAGGAAACCCTATGGGGCAGTTCTACTCTGTCCTGTAGAGTCGCCATGATTCAGAATAGACTGGACAACACACACAACATAGTAGTATAGATTAAAACCTCATTGAAAGAACTTTAAATCATCAGAAACTCTATAGGGGGCCGTCCTTGCCCTCGTCCAGAGCATGTGTCCATGGTGCTCTCAGGTACGTCTCCCATCAGAGGACACACAGACCTCTTACTTCCCACGGATCCAGTGTCGACACCTTTTTAAATTTTGGAATGGGGCAGAGGGTCAGCATGTGGCATGAGTATGGTCCACTAAAAGTAGTCCCAGCCCTGCCTGGCCTACACTGGGTTGTTGGCTGCACAGACTGCCTCCCAGTCCGTCTGTGGTTTGGGCTGTGAGTCATTCGGGATGCAGGGATATAGGACTGAGGTATGTGGAGAATGTCCTATTTACCCCTTCTCCTCTCTTCCAGGTGGTAGCAAAGGAAGCCTGGGAGAATCACAGGTTGAGGAATGACTCTGTGATTGTGGACACTTTCCATGGCCTCTTTAAATCCACTTTGGTTTGCCCAGAATGTGCTAAAGTTTCTGTGACCTTTGACCCATTTTGCTATTTAACTCTCCCACTACCCTTGAAGAAAGATCGAATTATGGAAGTCTTCTTGGTTCCTGCTGACCCTTGCTGCAGACCTACCCAGGTAACAGAATCAGCACCTTCATGCACCTCTGAGTGGTCTTCAGACCTGGGGTGCAGCTGCTTCCGTCTGCTGTGTCAGAAGCTCCGTTAGCTGCCTCTGAGTCCCCTGAGCGCTTGCCTGAGTATTGTGCACCCTTGGCCTCTGTGTAACCCTGTACATTCCAGGCCTGTTGCAAAGGTCCTCTGGGCTTCTCTGTCACTCTCTTCCCCATGTTCCATTCATGTGACTAAAGTAACTTCATCTGCTGCATGGACCTTGAATCTCAGTGTTGGGGAACCAGAATCAGGGTACTTTTCTTGGTGAGGTTCACCTCTCAGTCAGCTAGGAGAGTCTGGCCAGATCAAAGGCCGGATAGAGAGGTGTGACCAGCAGGTCTTAGTGTCCAGCCTGCTGATGGGATATGATGGGATATCACTCGAAAGGTGATATGTAGGACTGGATGGCAGTTTGTATAATTTGAATAATTCTATAAAGAAAGTAGTGAACTTCTCTGCAAAGTTAAGAATAAAATAAAACATTTGGGAAGGGAAAGAGACGTCCAGGCTCCCATGCTGCTGCCTGAATAGAGAAACGGGTAGTGATGCAGACTTGCCTGTTTGCTCTGCTGGGAACTCATTTGGGCCTTGACCTCATCATATACAGTTTCTGGAAGAGCACCTCTACCCCCAGCAAAGCTAGCTTCTCCCACCTCATCTCCTACCTGTTAAGGGGGTACTCCCCACCCCCCATCATCCTGATCGTCTCTCCGCTGCAGTACCGCGTGACTGTGCCGCTGATGGGGGCTGTGTCGGACCTGTGCGAGGCTCTCTCCAGGCTGTCTGGCATCGCTGCGGAAAATGTAAGGCAGGCTGGTTAGTGACATTCAGCTCATTGGGGGTGCTTCATAGTCCTTTGAAGTTTACTTTCAACCTTACAGCCACTTTTTGGGGCTAGTTGTTATTGGTCAGCACAAATACGATTCTGTCTGGATGCCTCAGCCCTCCTGGCACTTACTCACTGTGGCTGGGATGGTCTCTTCTGGCCCCAGGACACCGTTTTTCCTCCACTGCGATCACACTAGATGTGGTCAGAGGGCAGGAGTAGGGCTCTGCTCTCAGCTCTGCTGCCCCTTCCTACGTGACTTCTGTAAAATGAGGGCCCAGAAGTTCCTTCCTGCCCCAAACTCCTTAAGTTCGTAGAGTGACATTTTGATGTTCTTGATTAAAAATCTTAATTTAAAAACAGCTGCCCATGCTGGCCTTTCTGCTGAGCCTGGCACTGTGGAGAGGCAGGGGAAGTGAAGACCTCCCCTTGTGCCGAGGACCATCCGCCTGGATGCTCCCAGCTCTGGCCGATAGGGAGCCTGTGAAGCCTGTGAAATGCTGAGAGCCCCAGCCCCAGCCCCTCCCTCGTCCCAGCCTTGGTCAGTGCCCTGCTTCTCCCTCACCCCCTCGTACTCCTGCTGGTTTCAGGTGGTTGGGGTTTGGCCCATTCCAGTGCGTGCTGAGGGTGGTGTGGAGACCAGCCTCTGGACGACTCCCAGTCTCTGGTCAGCACTCAGTGCCACACCAGACTGCCCACCAATCCTGCCACCCAAGGGCAGGTCCCCTCGTAGGCCTCAGGACAGATGTTACCAGTGTGTTCACAGCTGGTGGCAACCATGCTGTTCCCCAACAGGCCGCAGCCCCTGGGCTCTGGGGCTGGTCACATGGTGGCCTCAATGGAGGCAATGCTCCAGCAGGGCGTTTTTTCCATTTGTTCCTGGGTTTTAAGCAGTTTATTAGTGTGGATGCTCTTGTCCGTCTTACACTCTCTCTGTTACTGTTGACTCTTAGATGGTGGTCACAGATGTGTATAATCACCGATTCCACAAAATTTTCCAAATGGATGAAGGTTTAAACCATATCATGCCTCGAGATGACATTTTCGTGTGAGTACTCAGCAGTTCTGCCAAGGGTTGGGTGGAAACATTCTAGAGGCTTTGCCTTGTGTCTCCAGAGCAAAAGTTCTGTCAGTCAGTGTTCCTGTGTATTTTCCCCGACCCCTGAGTGCAAGGTGTTCAGGGAATTGTGGGCAGCCATTAATCCTGAGTACCTACTGGCGTTTCAGAGCCAGCCATTCAGATAACTCTACTTGGCATGGACACAGCCTTTTGTCAGCACTTGCTGCCTGTTAAGAAGGGCTATTCGGTGGTCCTACTGATGATCCTGCTGTCAGAAATGCCTTTCTGTAGAAGGGTCACAGCTATGTGAGAGGCCGTGGGAAGACAGAAGGGGTAGGGTCCAAGGAGGATCTCATCCTCCACAGGCTTTGGCTCCTCAGGCAGGTGCCATGATACCACAGATCTCTGGTTCAAAAAGACAAGGAGGGCTGATTTAAATAGCCTTTTCTAGCTCTCATATCCAGAGAGCTCTGAGACTCCATTTTCTCATCCCTGTGGGGCCCAAACCCATTGCTGTCAAGTCGATTCTGACTCATAGCAACCCTATAGGACAGAGTAGAACTGCCCCCATAGGATTTCCGAGGCTGCAAATCTTCACAGAAGCAGACTGCCACACCTTTCTCCCATGTAGTGGCTGGTGGGTTTAAACTGCTGACCTTTCGGTTAGCAGCTGAGAGATGTAACCACTGTGCCACCAGGGCTCCTTCTTGTGGGGACCAAAACAGAAACTAAACCTGTTGCCGTCGAGTTGATTCTGACTCATGGCGACCCTATAGGGCAGAGCAGAACTGCCCCGTAGAGTTTCCAGGGAGCGCCTGGTGGATTGAACTGTGGACCTTTTGATTAGCAGCTGTAGCTCTTAGCCACTATGCCACCAGGGTTTCCTCCTGTGGGGACAGTACACTTCAAATCCAGCTGGTCTCTTCAGCCCCTCCCAAGTGCTGTTATTTCATGTCTGCTGTGTTGGGTTGGGTGGGAGCTTGTCTGCTGTGCCCAGCCAGCCATTTGCTCACGCAGCCTTGAATGTGGGCAACACCCATGCTGTCCCTCCCTCATCAACTCTCACTCAGATTTTCCTTTGCTAAGAAAGGTTTATAGGATTTTGTTTTGGTTTTGGCTGAGGAATACAATGCACAAAGGAGACATCTCCTTCCCTTTACATTTTTGGGCCTGTGACTTCTAGATCACTGAAAGGAGTAGCTCTTGCCCATGCACAGATCCTCCTCCTGGTAGCCCTTGCATGTGCCACCCCACTCACGCCATCTTTCCTCACTTCCCTCATGGTGGAGGGCACCAGGGCTCATGCCGGGCTGCAGGACTAGGGCATGGCAAGGTCAGCTTTCATGTCCGTTTCTGACCCTAAGCCCTCAACACAGCCGCCCCTGATTTCTGGAAATTAGTGTTTGCACATACCTGAGCTGAGAGGAACTAGAGCATCGCCCTGTGGGGAGCTTGGTAGACCACCACCAACAAAGGAATTCTCAGAGGGCTTGAGGGCCAACCAACGGGCAAATGTCCTCTCAAGAGGAATTGATAATTGCCTTATGAAAATAATAATAGCATCTAATGTTTTTTGAGCATGTTGTACACTGTGCACTAAGTTATTTAATTCTCACCAAACCATTAGGATGGCTAATCCCATTGTCCAATGAGTAGTTGGACCCAGAAGTTAGGACACTTGTCCTGTGTCACAACAGCCAGACAGATGGACCTCTGAGGTCTGGTCAGTTCTTGACCATTATTACACTGGCCCACAGGGTCCTGTCCATTCTGAACAATGGACATTTTCGTGAGTTATCTTTAGAAGCTCTTCTGTGTAAACTGCTGTCAGGACCGTTTGCCAGGCACGTAAGGAAGTGTGTGTGTTTGTGTGTAGTTTTCAAAAATTGTATCAGTAAGTTTGTGTCTCACCCTATAGGAAGAGGGGAAAACTACATTCGGTTGACAGGATAAAACATCTGTATGGTAACATCTGTTCCAGGATAAAACATCTGTAAATCTCCTCAATCCCATGTATTCACTAAGAAACATTTTTCAAAACCATTGGTTTTTATTTAGTGATTTCTTTGATTATCTCTGATTTTTAAAAAGAATGTTTACGATTCTTTTATATCAATGTTTTTGAACAAAGAGGGCAAACAATTAGTTTTATGAATTTGCTTCCTTGTTTAAAAGAAAGAATCTTTGACTAATATTTTGGGTGTACATTCTTGTATAATATTTAGTTCTTTTAGCAGGCAGAGCACTGAGCATGCATATTTAATAGTTGAGCTCCTCGGTGACAAGAGATGACCTTGGTGGTGCTTGTGTGCCTTTGTGTCCAGAGCGATGGTCCAGATGATGGCTGTCATCTGTGTGCCAAGTTCCAGTTGAAGGACCGCAGAGTTTGAGGCCATGGTTGGGGGAACAAGGATCACAGTTGCTCTGTGTCCTGGGTTGTATAGGTTCACATTGTACAGACCACGATTCTCCTTGGGCTCCCTTACCCACCTTCTGGAATCATCTTGGAAATGGTTTCTCTACCTTTTCTGCTAAGGTATGCCCTGTTCCAGTAACCACCACATAGCTGCAGCTCAGATCTCTGCCGCTCACAGGGACTTGCTTCTGAAGGTGCCCCCTTGTGTGATTGACACAGGTACGAAGTCTGCAGCACCTCCGCGGATGGCTCAGAGTGTGTCACGCTGCCAGTCTACTTCAGGGAGAGGAAGTCCAGGCTTTCGAGCACGTCCTCCGGGGCAGTGCTGTATGGGCAGCCACTGCTGGTTTCTGTCCCCAAGCACAAGCTGACCCTCGAGTTCTTGTATCAGGCTGTTTGTGAGCGTATCAGGTTGGTGGCACGCCCGTAATTTGCTTGTTATCTGAGATTTAGGCCCGATAATAGTAGTGACGACCCCTGAAGAGTGCCTGTGTGGGTCCTGGGGGCTCATGTCTGTAGTGAATGCAGTAGTGTTAGCCCCTGGGAGGGCCAGGGCAGATGCTGGTGGGTGGAGTATCTGGCTCACTCCAGGCACCAGGACACTGGGTGCCCAAGCCTTTTGGTCCACAGAATCTTTCCTGTCTGTCACACCTGTCAGTCATCTGGTTTAGGGAGTCTAGTGCTTTGATAGCATTTTGTATTCGAATACTGTTTCTGAAGTGCTTCACCGTCATTGTGAAGGTGGAAATTAACATTACTGAGGGAAATACTTGAAAAAATCATGGTGCCATATGACATTCATAGACTTGAAACAGGCTTTCGTGGGTTCTTAAGTGACTTAGTAGTTCAGTTAGTCTGATCTCGTGTTTCTCTCAATTTCTGAAAGTGTTGAGCCATTTTATATGATTTTAAAACACTTTTACTTACATAAATTGCTTTGAGTTCAGCTGTGAATATATAAATTGTTGATTATTTCTTAGCTGTGTAGTGGAGAAAAATAGGTAAATGTTAAAATTAACCAGCTTTTTTTCTTTCTTTTTTTTAAGCCGCTATATAAAACAGCCTTTGCCTGATGAGTTTGGCAGCTCGCCCTTGGAGTTGGGGGCCTGCAATGGCTCCAGGGGCAGCTGTGAAGGTGAGCGCTCGCCATGCTGTGGGCTGTGACAGACCACATCCCTCCTGACCTCCCTCTTCTTCCAAAGGTGTTGTACACGTGGGAGAGGGAGGCGCTGAGGCTGGGTTGGGAGCTCTGCCTAGAGCAGCAGTCCTGGGACACACATCTGCAACACCTTGCCAATTCCCAGTACTTGTCCACCTTCAGTACCTCTTGGAACTTTCTTTGAGATCTAGGGATGTAGGCCAAGTTTCACCTCAGGCCGACTGAGCCTAGAGGGATTTAGTGACTTGCCCAAGATCATTAGGCAGTCAGGATTGGAATTCTGATCTGTTGGGATTACAGAGTGGGTGCTTATCCAGCACGTGACTGCTCCCATGACCGGATCTCTGTTGGTACATCACTGTGGTATGGAATCGCCCAACCATTGCCCGTTTGCCCAGCCTGGCTGGCAAGCCTTTGTTCCTGGGAGGACTGGTGTCTTGGTTGGCCAATCAGAAGGCAGAGATAGGCTTTCTTGTGTGTTTCCTTCTCTCTACCCAGGAAGCCATAGGTGGCGGCCAACTCTAGACATCTCCTGCTGTGGGAGGGAAGGCAGTCACGGTCTGAAAAGCAGTGGGATAGTCTTGGTGCAGGAAAACCAGAGCCCACACCATCTTCCTGTGGCTGGGTGCTGACAAGTTTGTCCCTAACTGAGGAACGGTTTCTGACCCGCACTGTGGCTGTCACTCTTTTTGGGCATAGGCCATTCAGTGGCTTTGTTCCTCTACAACTGTAAATGTCCCCCAAGTTAGTGCCATAAATTCTCCTTAACTGCAAATCCAAATGCCCAGATTTCTCCAGGACATGCACAGTCCTGGACAGTGAGAATCAATGTTCAAAATAATGGCCTCCAGGCTCTGTCATCATCAGATGTTCCAAATTGGTTTGGTATTTTAGAGTTGAGTAGGTTCTATTATTGTCTGATTCTTATTCTTTTCCACAATGCCATGTCCTCCTCTGACTGGGGGGAACAGGAATGTATCTGGTGTCCGGGTCCCACAGGCAGAAGTGTCGGGAGTGGTCCTGGAGGTGTCTGAGCAGACCCTGGGTAACCTGTGGATTCTCAATGCTCCAGCAGTCAAGGCTCTGTGATTCCCACTTAAGGATTTGGTGTGGACTGGGACAAGTCAGTTCATCCCTTTGAGCCTTGGTTTACTCATCTGCAAATTAGGACAATGACACCTGCTTCACAGGGTTGAGGTTACAGTTTAATGAGATAATGTATTTAAAATACCTGGTACATAATAGAGCCTCAATTAATAACAACACCTTGTAAGTATTTGCTGATGTTATAACTAGTCCTGCTTCTTAGACACTCAGTTACCTGCTTAGGAAGAATTACTGCCTTCTTTTGAATCCTACAAATGAGTCTTGGTGCGTAGACTTCAGACCCTGTTTAATGTTGAAGTACTTTTAGCCTCTTCATTGTCGTGGCTCCTTCTTTGGCCTGTGGCAGCTGAGCTTTAGGTTTCCTGCCAATTCTCTGGGTGACCTTGCGTAGCAAGTTTCAGTGGACCCTGCTTTCCTTTTCCTTTCTCAACCTGTCATATACACTTCATGGCATTTAATTCTGGCTGCATTGGCAGAAGGTTCCTGAGATTGACCTGGTAACTGGCAGCCAGTGGCACGGCCACGGACAGAGTTCTTACAGAGTCAGGGTACTGCTCGCTCATTGGGTGGGGTGTAGACAAGTTCTGGTTCTCTCCCTCTGAGAGGCAGCAGGCAGGGCAGGGGTTTCCTTTTCTAGTCTAAGAGTGGGGCAGGCTTACCTGTGTGTAAGGGGCAGGGCTGCTCTGGCTCAGGAGTCAGATGAGCTGAATTAGGAAAGGAGCCTCTGTGAGAGCTGGGGCCAGGTGGCTCTTGTGGGCTCATGTATGCTGGCTGGGAGTAATGCTGATGGGGAACCACGTCACACCTTCATCCACGACTGCTGCTCCTGTGGCCTGAAAGGAGACTGCATTGTCCTGGGCCCAACTTGTTCTGCTATTTGAGTGTATAAACTCTACATTTTTAAATCTCTTCCCGTTATTTTTACATCACCTTTTGAAGTTGTCCCCATCTATCGTTGAAATTACTTACCTGATACCTTAACTTTCCCCTTAGGATGTAGGCCCAATGAGGGGAGGACTCTGCTGTATTTTTGGGACCAAGCACGGCACCTGCCCCTAAGAGGCATTCAGTAAATACTTGTTGAAAGAACATGCAGCACATATTTCTTCTGGAGGAACCGATTGCTTTTACTTAGTATTTGTGTTCATTATAATATCTTAAAATTGACTTTTTAATTGCATTTCTTATCAAACAGTCGTCTTGAGTATTGCACGTGTGTTTAATTTTAGTCCTTTCCTCTGTGTGGGCCCAGTGATGAAGTTGAAAGAGTGAGACCATGTGGTGTGAAGTCCAGTAGAGTAGTAAGTGGTGAGGAGGCCCATATTGGGTCTGGCAGGATTGCTGACTCCCTTTGTGCCTTTGGATGACTCATTTAATCTCTGAGCCTCCCTTCCTCACGTGGAGTAGAAGTGTTCACTCTGCCTGTCTTGCAGGGTTGTGGTGAGTCACATGTGAGTATGAGCGCCTTGTAAATGCAAAGGGCTATGTATAGTTTCACATACACAAAACAGAATATAGGAGACACCACAATTACGTGTTAAATTAATTTTTAACATTGGAATGGTGGCAAATTATATACACATTGTTTTTCATTTGTGTGTCAGGAGAAGAAGAAATGGAACATCAGGAAGAAGGCAAAGAGCAACTTTCGGAAACAGAAGGCAGTGGGGAGGAGGAGCTGGGCAGTGACCCCAGTGAGACCATCCAAAAGAAGGTCAAAGGCCAGCCCTGCCCAAAAAGGCTTTTCACCTTCAGTGTTGTGAACTCCTATGGAACAGCTGACATAAATTCACTTGCAACTGATGGAAAACTGCTAAAACTCAACTGTAAGCACTTTCTCTGACCTTTCAAACTAGGCTCTTTTGGGACTTAGGCTTTCTCTGAAAGTACCAGACCAAACTCTTGCTGTTCAGTCGATTCTATCTGAAAATACTTAACACTCAGTACTCACTGCACTGGGCTTTCATAATGTCTGTGGCTCCGGGAACAGACACTTGTGTGAGCCTTGGCTTGAAGGCCCCATGGACTGTTTCCGACACCTTCTCCTGTTGTCAGGTGTCTCTCCTTGGTCCCTTATGGCCTCAGAGTGAAGTAAATTATTTCTCAGTTTCCACCACTCTTCAGGACATTTGCTGTGGGTTGATAACACTTCGTACAGTCCTCCTGTGTGGCAGCATTTCATTTATGAGAATATATATTTCTTTTGCTCCCTAAGAATACTCATGATCTTAGCTCGAGTAGATACATGAGACTAAACGGGCAGCTTCTGTCCGGAGGTGAGATGAGAAGGCAGCGAGGGTTAGGATGGACATGAGAAATCCGGAGTGGAAAGGAGGAGTGTGCTGTCACAGTATAGGGAGAGCAATTAAGAGTCACGTAACAATGTGTGTATAAATTTTTGTATAAGAGACTAACTTGAAATGTAAACTTTCACTTAAACTACAACAATAAACGAACAAACAGAATACTCATGAAATGCAGCCCCACATCCATGATGGCCATGGATTTCGTAGGCTCTCCATTACGTGGTGCCTGTTGTGGGGACTGCTCTACAGACGGGAAAAGGCATCCACAGAGGACTTGCATTTTGTATGAAAAGTATGAATGGCCAGTGAGGACAGCTGGGCAGGGTTGGGAGGGCAGCTGCAGAGCTGGCTCTTGTGTTTTTAGCTTTGTTCATTGTAGAAGAAATTGACTAGCTGTCGTTTAGCTTCCTTGTTTTTGTTATACTTATTTAAAAAAATTTTTTTCAGTGACAGTTTTGTTGAGGTATATAACATTCCATAAAATTCATCTTTTTAAAATGTACAGTTTTGTGGTTTTTAGTATATTCACAGAGTTGTGTAAACATCACCACTGTCTAATGTTAGAACATTATCATTATCCTGAAAAGAACCCCCTTACCCATTAGCAGTCACTCCCCCTCCCTCTTCACCCAGCCTCTGTAATCTACTCTATGTCTCTGTGGATTTGCCTTTGTGGACGTTTCGTGTAAATGGAATCATACAATATGTGGTCTTTTACGGCTGGCTTCTTTCACTTAGCACGTTTTCATTATCCATGTTATCCATCATACATCCATGTTGTGGCATGTGTTAGTACTTCATTCCTTTTTGGACCAAGTAATACTCTATTGTATGGATAAACCACATTTTGTTTAGCCATCATGGATATTTGGATGGTTTCCACTTTTGGCTATTTAAGAATAATGGTGCTGTGAACATTGAAGTACAAATTTTTGTGTGAACATGTGTTTTTATTTCTCTTGGTTATGTAACTAGGTGTGGCATGCTGGATCATATGGTAACTGCTATGTTTAACCTTCGGAAGAACTGCCACACTGTTTTCCAAAGTGGCTGCACCTTGTTTTGTTTTTAGTGGTTGCCTTGGATTTTTTTTTTTTTTTTAATTGTGAAAATATACACACCAACATAAGAAGTTCTCCTGGATTTTTAACTTGCCACAGTGCACCCAGATAATACCATACTATTTTGAAATAATGTAAGAACATTACAATAGTAAACATCCATTTCCCCCCAGTCCTTTGTGCTATTGTTGTCTTACATTTTACTTCTATATGATATAAACACCACAATTTGTTATATTTTTGCTTTAAACATTTAATTATCTATTTTTTAATTATCCTTTAAAAACACTAAAAAGCGAGAAAAAATGTCTTTTGTATTTACCCACATATTTATTATTTGCAGCACTCATATTTCCTTCTCATAATTTTTCTTCTATCTAAAAAATTTATTTTAACATTTCTTGTATTACAGATATGCTGGCTTTTGTTAATATGGGAAAAAATCTTTATTTTGCCTTCATTTTTGAATGATAATTCTAGGTTGACAGGTTTTTGTTGTTTATTGCTTGCTTATTTTAAAGATGTCTCCATTATTTGGCTTACATATTTTCTGATGAGAAGTCTGCTGTCATTCTTGTCTTTGTTCCTTTATACTTGTCTTTCTTTCTCTGGCTGCTTTTAACGTTTTCTCTTTATCACTGGTTTTCGTTGATTTGATGATAAGTCCCTTGGTATGGTGTTATTTATGTTTATTTTGTTTGGGGTTCATTGAGCTTTTTGGAACTGTGAATTTATAGTTTTTGTTACATTTGTAAGTTTGGCCATTATTTCTTCACATGTTTTTTATATCCTACCCTATGTGTCCTTTCTTTCTTTCTGGGACTCCAATTAGACATATACATTTGACCACTTGACGTTGTCCCATAGGTCAGTGATGATTTATTTGTTTATTTTTCTTTTATTCTCATTGTGCTTTGTTTTCGATAGTTTCCATTGTTCTGTTTTCTGTTTTTCAGGTTCACTCATCTTCTGTAGTACCATCTGTTGTTAAATCTTATCTAGTATATTTTTCATCTCTAGAAGTTCCATTTGGGACTTATTTATATCTTATATTTCTCTTTTCATTATGGTCGTATTTTCATCTTTCTTGCACATATGGAGCATATTTCTAATACTGTTTTAATGTATTATCTGCTGGTTCCCTCATCTCTGTCATTTCTGGGTCTGTTGCCATTGATTGACTTTTTCTCATGGTTATGGGTCATGTTTTCCTGCTGCTTTGCGTGCCTAGTAATTATTTACTGGATGTTTGATGTTGTGAATTTTACATTGATAGTTGCTGGATTTTGATATATTCCTTTTAACAGTATTGGATTTTGTTCTGGCATGCAGATCAGTTACTTGATATCAGCTAGATCCTTTTGAGGCTTGCTTTTAAGCCTCGTCAGGATGGGTCACAAGATAACCTTTAGTCTGGGGCAGGAGTCACCAAACTATGGCCTGTGGGCCAAATCTAGCCCACTGCCTTTTTTTCCTATGGCTTGTGAGCCAAGAGTGGTTTTTATATTGTTATGTGGTTAAAAAGAAAATCAAAAGAACAATATTTTGTGACAGTGAGAACTTCATGAAATTCAGATTTTAATGTCTAGAAATATAATTTTGGGGGGAACACAGTCATTCATTTACAGATTGCCTGTGACTGCTTTCTCATGACAGCTGCAGAGTTGAGTAGTGTGACAGACGGTATGGCCCACAAAACTTAAAAAAATACTATCTGGCCACTTATAGAAAAAGCTTGTGGACCCCTGGTCTAGGACTAATTTAGTTCCACTACTAAGGCAGTAGCCTTCTGAGGCTTCTACCTGATGTCCCTCAGATTACAAGGCCTTCCACTCTGCCTGGCAGCAACACGAACTATTCCCAGCACTGTGTGAGTCCTGGGAATTATTCCACATACTCATTTCCCGTGGTTCTTTCCTTAGCCTTGGGTAGTTTCCTCTCATGTGGATGTACTCAGCAAAATACCTGAGGGGACCCCTCTGCAGATTTCTGTTTTCATATTCATTTATTCTCTCTCTCTCTCTCCAGCTCTGTCCTCTCTGTACAACTTCCTCCTCTCTAGTATAATGCCTTACAAATTCTAGTCACTTCCTCAAACTCTGATATTTGACTCCTGACTCAGTTTCTCCTTTCTCCATACTGCGGCCTGAAAACTACATCCAGGCAGTAAACTAGGGCAATTATTGAGGTCACCTTGTTTGTCTTTCTTCTCTCAGGGATCACACTCCTGCTCTGCCTATTATCCAGTGTCTGAAAAGTTGTGTCTGTCTTGTCAGGTTTTCTCATGGTTTTAGGCAGGCGGTCCCTGTTACTCCACCTTGACCTATACCCTTTCAGAATTCGATATAGTTAGCACCTTTATAGCTATCCATGTCATTGAGGAAATCCTTGCCAGTGGATTTGGGGAGCTGGGGGTACAAAGGGGCTGGCCCGAGGCAGGGCATTGCTTTCAGCAGTGACAGGTGATAAGTAAGCAGGGGTTGATGACACGGCCAGAGTATGATTCTTCTCACTCCTGTTGGTTCAAGAGTCTCTCCTAGAGTGAAATGCCCCTCCAGTAATGAATGACACTTTGGTCTTCCTCCACAGCTCGATCCACACTGGCCATCGACTGGGACAGTGAAACTCGGAACCTTTACTATGATGAGCAAGAATCTGAAGTAGGTCACTTGGGATTCTTAGTCACTGGTGTGAGCTGATTTCTGCCGTGGACTTCTATCAGGATCACTCTCACCAGTCTGATAGCAATTTTAGCAAGTTATAATTCAAAGTGGGAGTGGAAAGTACTTAAAAATTTTGTCATTTTGTGTTCAGAGGCTCCAGAAAGTACACTATATTCCAGGTGTAAGAGTCTCTGTAGGCCTGTTGCTTCTTGACCCAGTAAGATCTTGTTTCCCAAACAGAACTCAGCCCTATGTTCCTTACAGACCTGTGAGAAGCACGTGAGCATGTTGCAGCCACAGAAGAAGAAGAAAACCTCAGTGGCCCTGAGAGACTGCATCGAGCTCTTCACCACCATGGAGACCCTTGGGGAACACGACCCCTGGTATGCAGCTCCCCACCGTCCAGGCAGGGGTACCCTGTGTCCTGGGACTCTGTGATCTTCTGGGTCATCTATGCACACAAGAACCTTTGTATCTGGAGGTGTCACTTCCTTACGTGGTCTCTACTGCACCACATAGATCCTCCTGTGTGAGTTCTGTTTTCCAGACTAAGCCATCACTCCGTTTTGAAAGGCGGCTTAGAGACCTCCCTGCCATGAGGAAGTCATGCTGAGCGCTGCTTGAAAGGATGTTGTGGATTGTGACTGTACTCGCACGAATGCCATGATGGCTCTGGCCCCCCCTTCCCTCTAAGCAGAGGTTGCTCTTCTCTCTCCAGGTACTGTCCCAACTGTAAGAAGCATCAACAGGCCACAAAGAAGTTTGACCTGTGGTCCTTGCCCAAGATCCTGGTGGTCCACCTGAAGCGTTTCTCCTACAACAGATACTGGAGGGATAAGCTTGACACGGTTGTGGAATTCCCGGTTAGGTGGGTTCTTTTGACCATGGAGTTAGGAAGATTAAAAAGCAGACAGTGATTCTGGGTGCTGATTGGCTGCTGCTTTTGTTGTCAAAGACTTTCTGCGTTAGGGTGTGTGTTGCTGGGCTGTGGGAGGTTAGATTTTGACTGTAGTTACCCCTTACTCCCCATGCCCGCACCTCTGGGGAGAAGCCTCTCCACTGGAAGCACTTCCCAGGCTCGAGAGGATACTGGTCATCTCCCTGCTGCTGATTACCTTGTGAGCCCCTCCTGCCACCTAACTGGCCTGTATTTCCCATCTATCCCTGGTCCCAGGGAGCCTGGGCTTCGTAGGGGCAGCACAGGGGCAGTGCTGTTCCTCATTAGTGGATGGGTCAAGGCAGCCCGAGAGCCTGCCAGGGAGAATTGGATTATTCCTGGGGGCCACAGGTGGGAGTGCAAACCTGCTGCAGTCCTGACCTGCGGTAGAGACCAGGACGGGCTGGCTGCGTGTATCCTCGCAGGCCCCAGGGCAAAGAATGTAATTGACACAGGAGATTGAATCAACAAGATAGACGTTTCCCCCTAAAATGCAGATTTTAAAATGATTTCTTGGGGGATGGATAGATACATGAAGTATAGGACATGTCAGCGGGAGAATCTAGGTGGTTGAATATATAGATATTTTAGATATTTGTTGTAAAATTCTTTTCATTTTTCTGCATGTTTGAAATTTTCAAAATAAAATGTAGGGGGAAAGCTTTCTGCAGCCTATTTTGGTATGTAGCTTACATAATGGCACCAGTTGTGCTTCTGTTGTAACAGTCATTTATACATGGTTGCTGAAGCTCTTTGTCCCCAGACCGCTTCCTCGCCATTTAGTCTGGTGTTGGAGTTTTACAGGAGGTTCTCCCACTTGCTGCTCTGAACATGCCAGTGGTTGGGACACAGACCCCCAAGGCCCCTTCTGTTGTGGTCTGTTCATCGTTCCTTCTGCAGCTAGTTTTGGAATGCCTCTCTCTGCTCTAGCCAGTTGTATAAAAGGTGTTGCTGGGTTGCTCTGACTTCTTTAACACATTTAAGAGCCGTTTTTGTGTTTTGTGCTCAGAGCTCTGAACATGTCCGAGTTTGTCTGTGACCTGTCAGCAAGGCCCTATGTGTACGACCTCATTGCCGTGTCCAATCATTATGGAGCCATGGGGGTTGGCCACTGTAAGTACTAGCATCTGCTTCCTTCTGAGATGTTGAAAGATCCTTGTCCAGTCAGCTATCATCGTATCTGTGTGCCAGGCACTGTCCTAAGCACTTTACTTGTCCAGTTCCACAGGCCTCAGGCACCAGGCTGCTTCAGTACTGCTGCCCTATTGTTCTTACTGTATGACTTCCTGGCTCAGGATGGCTGCTCAGTCGTCAGCTCTCATATCTACATTCCATGCCATCAGAAGAAGGGAAAAGGGGGGCACAACCTTCTCTTTTAAGTAGCTCTCCCAGAAGTCCCCCTCATTAGTCTGATAGATTTCATTCACTATAACTTGGTCACATGGCTATATGTAGTTGGCAGGAGAGGCTGGGAAATGGAAATTGTGCCTGTTTGAAAATTGAGGTTCTGCCAGTGTGGCGGTCAGTAATCTTTGATTGTGTCATACCCTACAGTACTCACTGTTCTTCAACTTGTTTTTCTCTCACCAGATTAATTTTTATATATGTCTGTGTTCATGCATACTAGTCAAATATATATTCTTTTTTTTTTTTTTTT